TGAATCCATAATGCATCGTCATTACGCATGTGAATCGCTGAATTACAATTCAATAAATTCCCAGTTCAACTTCCTAAAGCAAAACACATAATGCAAAATACAGTTTTATGGTTTTTGGTCAGTGTGTGTGTGTGTGTGTGTTTTCAGGACGGTGTGGTGACGGGACGCTGCAACTGCGGCTCCTGAATATCGATCACCGCACACAGAGATGCCAGAGTCTATTAGATAAGAGGTGTGTGTGTGTGTGTGTGTGAGAATGATGACACAACAGAGGCTCAGAAAGACAAAATCAAAGTCAGGAGTAACGGAGTGTGAAAGAGAAGAGAGAGGAGGAGTACAGGGCTCGACCGGAGCTGATGAAGAGATCAACAGAGACTCTTCGTGTGTGTGTGTGTGTGTGTGTTGGAGAATGGAGGGATGAAATTGGAACATCTAAGTGTGTGCTGGTGAACCGCGAAGATCAACAAGAGAGCTCAAGAGTAATACTGAGAGAGAGAGAGAGAGAGAGGGATACTGTGTGTGTGTGTGTGTGTGTGTAAAGACAAGGTGCCCTTACAGAAAAGCACTGTTGCAAAACCATAGTATATGTATATGTATCAGATAATATACACTCTAAAATCGTATACTATGGAGTAATTAATAATTTTTTTTGATGAAACATTTTTACACTTGAGAACATTGAGTAAATCTTAAATTTGGCATGGCTTTTCTTCCCTATTGTGTCGTATATCCGAGTGAAACGCTTCTGGAACAAGAACAAATGTGGGCGGGACTTGATTTTGTCTGTGGGGAATTGATTGGATGGTGGTGGATTGCTATTGGCTGATCTCATGTGAGTGACGGGTTGCTCCGCCCACATCATCAGAGAAGATAAGAGACGCTGCGAGAGGAAGATATTCCGATTCAAGATCACGAGACACATAAAAAAGATAATGATGTGCACTGATAAATCATTTATAATAAATACTGAACTATTAATCACTCACAAAATACAACTATTTCAACATTTCTGCTTTTAACACTTTTGCAGTCCATTGCAAAGCATGTTGGGAAAATTAAATTTCCTTGTTATTTTGTGTCCAACTTACTCAATTTCTTAAGTTGTCTGATCCGAATAATTTCCTAAAACTTTTAAGAATATTAAAACAAAATGTATGATTTATTAGTCTAATACTTAAAAAACAAAGAATGATGTACATTTTAAACACAAATAACTGTAAGATTGTCCAATTCAGTGATATTCAGATTTTATTAAGGCACCGTAGTTATTTATTATCGTGATATTTAGAAACAGCACGGAATCATTATAATGCTAAAATATTAGGGCTGTCAAACGATTAATCACATCCAAAATAAAAGTTTGTGTTTATATATATAAATATACATATATATATATATATATATATATATATATATATATATATATATATATATATATTAGGGCTGTGCAAAAATTAATTGCGATTAATCGCATCCAAAATAAAAGTCTGTGTTTACATAATATATTTGTGTGTGTGGAATATAATTATTTTGTATATATAAATACACACACATGCATGTATATATTGAAGAAAATGTGTTATTCATATATAAAATATTTATATTTATTATATTTATATAATATAGTTTATGTATTTATAAATATATACAGAATTTAAGCGCAAACAATTCTTAAATATATACATGCATGCAAAGGTATTTATATTTACAAAATAATTATATACAGCACACTCAAATATATTATGTAAACACGGACTTTTATTTTGGATGCGATTAATCGCAATTAACTTTTGCACAGCCCTAATATATATATATAAATACACACGAATGCTTGTATATATTTAAGAAATATGTTCATGTATAAACTGTATATAGATTTATATATAATTTATATTACATATCAATGTAAATATTTTATATATATAAATAATATTTTTTTCTTAAATATACATGCATGTGTGTGTATTTATATATATATATACAAAATAATTATACACAGTGCACCCACATATATTATGCAAACTCAAACTTTTATTTTGGATGCGATTAATCGATGAATGACAGCCCTTTTAAAAATAAACAAAAAACATTGTAATATCATAGTCATACTATAACTAATGCTATACGGAAAAATGTGCTTGTTGTTGTTAACGAATGCAAAAGCACACCAGTGTATCATCACGCTACTGTCAGCTGATCCATTTCAAGGTCAAAGTGCGTCAAATCCACCAGATCCATGAATCTAAATTCTTCTAAACACACCACAGAGCAAACAGCCGTCCTGAAACACACACTCCCTCTCCGGAGGACTCGAGAGGAAGGGATTTGGCCGGTTTGTTCAAATTAAAATGATCCTAATGAACGTAACCGCTGGGTGTTCAGAAGAACTGCAAATATTCAGCCAAATATTCCAGACTCTCCTAATTGAACACACACACACACACACACACACAGACAACTTGTTCCTCATTAGGCCCGTACGCCCGTAGTGTGTGTACATGGAATAAGTGAGTAGTGTTGTATGATAATGTAAATCTGTTAGAGGCTAATGGGGGTCATTAGCATTTTCCAACAACAATATCACACACACATACACACACGCATACTAACGCACACACCCTCTCTCTAACACACACACAGACAGTGTTTGGGTCAGAGGACACAGGCAGCTTTGAGTCCGTCTCATAAAAGAAAACAAGATATGAACTACAAGACAGAGCGAGCTTATCAAAGAGCAGAAGAAGAGAGGGCGAACAACACACGGGAGCAGGAACACACTTAAGAGGAGGAGGAGATTACAGAGGAATAAAGTGATAATAATAGGCCCTTCAGGAAGAGAAGCAGAGAGACTTTAATCAGATGGATGTGACATATGGGGGATTTCGTTAACCCTCATTAATATTCGTAATAGTTGTGCTGGGGTTATTGGAGTCTCTGAGCAGAAGACGGACGTGAACTTTAAGAGCGGTTTCTCCACTTGAATAGCATTCTCAATTACACACACAGTGCTGGGGAGTCACTAACAAAAAAAGTTGTGAGGAAATTTAGAGATTTTCAAGCAATATCAAGTACTGTAACAATCTATGTATTTGTTTGTCACATGTTGTATTGCACACACAGGTATACAGTCAAGCAATAATTATGAGAGGACAACATAAATATACATTTTCATATGTATAAATAAGTGCAAATGACTACTTTAATGCATTACTAATTAAAATGCAATGAAATGCATAAAATTATTAAATTCATTTATTGATTATTTCAACACTATCTCACGACCAATTCGTACGAATTCGACGGATGATTAAAAAGTGTCTAATTCATACTAATTCGTACGACCTCACTCGTACTAATTCGTACGATTTGTCTAAACCCACGTGATGGTTAAGTTTAGGGGCGGGGTCAGGGGTAGGTCATTCGTATGAATTCATACGAATTGGCCAATTCGTAAAATACGTACGATTTAGCAAAATCGTATTAATTCGTACGAGTGAGGTCGTATGAATTGTTACGAATTAGCCACTTTTTAATCATTCGTCGAATTCGTACGACTTGGTCGTGAGATCGGGTTGATTATTTGCATTTCTTTCTTTCTTGATTTTTAATTTTCGCAGGTTGCATCCTCCATAAATGCAAGTACAATTTGCATTGCAAAGCTTGATTCATTTTAGTGGAATCCCCTTTGTTACTTACTTTTCTTTACAAAATAGTCGTTTTAAACTCAAATATATGCATTGCATTTGCTGTATATTTTCTGTTTTAAAGGAGTAGTTCACTTTTAAATAAACTTTTGCTGATAATTTACTCACCCCCATGTCACCCAAGATGTCCATGTCTTTCTTTCTTCAGTCGAAAAGAAATGAAGGTTTTTGATGAAAACATTCCAGGATTTTTCTCCATATAATGGACTTCAATGGGGTCCAAACGGTTCAAGGTCCAAATGAGAGTTTCAGTGCAAACTGCAAACTAATCAAAGGGCTTTAAACGATTCCATACGATGAATAAGGGTCTTATCAAGTGAAACGATCGCTCATTTAAAAAGAGGTTTCAGTTTTATAAGCTCAAATGCTCGCTTTGCTCTGTTCTGTGATGCGCGTTCGTGACTTTCCTGTTCGAACTCGTTTATCAAAATGAACAAATCTTTTCCCGAGTCATTTGGTTCATTCAACGAACGAAATGAACGAGTTGACTCGGGGAAAAGATTTTGTTTATTTTGATGAACGAGTTCGAATAGGAGAGTCATGAACGCGCGTCACAGAACACAGCAAGGCGACCATTTATTTGAGCTTATAAAACTTAAACTTTTTTTTTTTTTTTTTTTAAATGAGCGATCGTTTTGCTTGATAAGACCCTTATTCATCGTCTGGAGTCGTTTAAAGCCATTTGAAGCTGCACTGAAACTGTCTTTTGGACCTTGAACCGTTTGGACCCATTGAAGTCCATTATATGGAGAAAAATCCTGGAATGTTTTCATCAAAAACCTTAATATCTTTTCGACTGAAGAAAGAAAGACGTGGACATCTTGGATGACATGGGGGAGAGTAAATTATCAGCAAAAGTTTTGTTTAAAGTGAACTACTCCTTTAATACTATTAAATTATGCACTCAGTATTAATTAGGTTATGTTGCACTAGCCAATACGACACTGAAACAACATAGAAGCAGCTCCACACAAAACCTCAATTTCCCTTTACCATTGCAAAAAAAGATTCACAGTTAGCATGATTTATTTATTTTGTGAGCAAAAAGAGTCAACTAACACTGAGATAAAGTGAACGGTGCTGTAGTTTACTCGATTTGAAATTTTTTGCCAAGCTACAGTATGTCTCATCCGTGTAAAACTTTATAATGAGAGTAAAACTGCTGAGTGCAACTTTAACACCACCAACCTGTTTTTGTGAGATAAATACTACCCAGAATAAAAAAATGGTATATTTTTGTCACTTGAGAATCTACAGCACGAGTCTTTTACACACGTATTCTGTTTCTTCAAACAGGAAAACAAGACAATCGCAGGAAGATTGGTGACCAGGATCTGATCTGAGAACAGCTTCTTGACCAATGCGAACACCGTGGAATACTATTTCCCGAAAACACGCAGTGGAATAACAACCTTCGTTTTAGATGGTATGCTTAGAAACGAAGGCCACACCCCCTTCGGCTCCTCCTCAGGGGGCTGAGCCAATCAGCAGAGGTCATGGGCCGACGGGCGGCTGACGCGTCCAATGCGGTGCCGGCGCTGGAAGTGCCTCTCGCTGGTGGGCGGGGCATGCTGTCTCAGAAATGGGGTCCTCTGTGCAGCGTTGGCGTCCAAACGTCGCCAGGCCTCCGTTCGCTTCCGTCATTAAAGCGCAGGACGCAAACGGTCAATGGACCGACCGCAGAAACCATGTCACTGGACCGGATGAGGCGTTGTGAGGTCAACGGCAGGCATGTCGTCAAAGCGGCGTCCAGGAACGGACCGGACCGGACGTCCCAGGAGAGCGAGGTGTACTGTCAAATCAAAGTCACTCCGAACCAATCAGGGCTGAGAGGGAGTTTAAAACGAACCCCTCGGTACGTTAACGGCAGTGTGGTTGCACCCGAGGTGGTGGGCGGAGTTTGTAGTGAGGGGGCGGAGTCAGAAGAAGCGAGTCAAACAATGACACGTGATTGTAGGCGGGGCCAATCGCTGAGAGGGGAATCGTCCAGGCCGTCGGTGCACTGCGGAAACGTCGGCTCGTACGCCACGCCCCCTCGACCGTGCCGGATGATGACATCATCGCCCAAGCTGTGCATGAGCTGTGGGCGGAGACAGTCTCAAGCCCCGCCCTGCATGGCGGCCGCGTGTCGCAAACGGGCCGCGAGTCAGGTGACGCTTCCGACGCTGCCGAGGAAATGCTGTTCACCTCGGCTGCAGAAACAAAACTCCACGGTGGCACAACCAACGTACGCGCAAATTCCCAATTACACGACCGACATGCAGAACGACACATCGTGCTCCACCCCCTCACAACACACGCTCGCAAAAACCGAGGGATCGGCGCAGTCTGAAAAACCTAAAAACGGCTCGACGACGCACAAAACGCAACACACACAAACAACTAAAACTGAATCGCAAAAGACTAAGGACAAGTCCGTATCCGCCACGTCTAAACCGATTGGCTGTGAGTCAAAAGCCACGCCCACTCTTCCGCCCAAGAAGGGCTCACAGGTGCAGGTCAAATCTAAACCGGCACCTCCAGAGCTTCTGATTGGCTCAAGGGCGGAGCCTAAAGCGCAAACCCCGCCCCCTCCCTCAGAACCTAAACCCGAGACAGAAACGGACTCTAAGGACACCAAAGCACCTCGAAAAGACGAGATCCCACAATGCAACGGTGCACCCGGCGTTCTACACGGACTCCTGCATAACGTAGAGGAAAACCTGCTGTATAATCAGGAAAAGATCAAAGTTCTTCTCAATGTCATCCAGGATCTGGAGAGGAACAAGGCAATGAGTGATGGGTGAGTGAGAGCGAGAGATTAAGGAGTTCATGAAAGCGTGTTTGATTTGTGATTCTACACTTCCATCATCCCATAACTCCCCTGGTAACTGATGTGTCCTGAGGCAACACCTCGGGAATCTCCATCATCAGAGGAACATCGACCCCCAACCGTTCACAAACTCTCTCTCTCTCTCTCATATATCTGATGTCTTATTTTCTGTCACATCTTCACCGCTTTACCATTTACACTCTCCCTTAATCTCTTAAAAGTTTCTCTCCTATTTTATCCTACACACACACGGCTCCGATTGAAAGCTCAGATGTGTCAGAACCGATCAGGAAAAGTGACTGTGTTGTGTGTTTTAAAGTGTCCATATTCATTACATATTCAAGGACATTCAATAGAGGTCTTTATTCCTGTGGGCTTCCAGCTAGCCTTGATTTTATTTGTTGTGACGCAGTCCTAAATTTCTGAGTTGCAGAAAAACTACGCAAGTAGAGTAAGCAGTCTTGATTACAAATCACTTTTAAAAAAAAACTTTTGCTGATGGTTTACTCACCACCATATCACACAAGATGTCCACGTCTTTCTTTCTTCAGTCGAAAAGAAATTAAGGTTTTTGATTTTTCTCCATATAATGGACTTCAATGGGGTCCAAATGGTTCAAGGTCCAAATGAGAGTTTCAGCGCAGCTTCAAAGGGCTTTAAACGACACCAGACGATGAATAAGGGTCTTATCTAGCGAAACGATTGGCCATTTCAAAAATAAATAAAAAAGTTTAAGATTTATAAGTGCAAATGCTCGCCTCGCTCTGTTCTGTGTGACTCTCCTGTCCGAACTCATTCATCAAAATGAACGAATCTTTTTTCAAGTCATTTCGTTCATTCAATGAATGAAATGACTCGAAAAAAGATTTTTTCATTTCGCTTTATAAGACCCTTGAACTCGTTCATCAAAACGAACGAATCTTTTTTCAAGTCATTTCGTTCATTCGACGAACAAAATGAACGAAATGACTCGAAAAAAGATTTTTCAATTTCGCTTCATAAGACCCTTGAACTCGTTCATCAAAATGAAAATGAACAAATCTTTTTTCGAGTCATTTCGTTCATTATACGAATGAAATGAACAAAATATCTCGAAAAAAGATTCGTTCATTTTGATCAATGAGTTCGAACAGTAGAATCACAGAACAGAGCAAGGCGAGCATTTGTGCTTATAAAACTTAAACTTTGTTATGTATTTTTTAAATGACCGCTCGTTTCACTAGATAAGACCCTTATTCATCGTCTGGTGTCGTTTAAAGCCCTTTGAAGCTGCGCTGAAACTCTCATTTGGACCTTGAACCGTTTGGACCCCATTGAAGTCCATTATATGGAGAAAAATCCTGGAATGTTTTCATCAATTTATTTTCGACTGAAGAAAGAAAAACATGGACATCTTGGATGACATGGGGGTGAGTACATTTTTCTAAAGTGAACTACTCAATTAAGCAGGATGGAAAAGACCTCCAATTCAATGTTCTGTGAGTGTGAATCACATGCTCCAAGCGTCTGTGTGTGTGTATGTGCAGGTCTTCAGACTGTGTTGTTTTTTCAGGCGTTGTTCATACAGAACTGGTCAGGACATCAACAACTGCTCAACCTGCCAGAAAACAGCCTGCATTATATACAGGTAAACACAACCGTTAACAGCCCATCATGTCGTCATTTAGTCTTTTATGATCATTTCCTCCCTTTACAATTACACAGGCTGATTTTGCTACTGTACTATTTAATTGGCAACTCTTCACATTAACAATAGGAAGTGATGCAATGTTCAAACATGAAAGCACATTCGTTGCATGACTTTTTCAACATTAAAGCAGTTCACACTTCAAAGCATCAACTCATTTTTAATTTTGTGACTTAATTTTTGCTATTAAGTTGGTTAGACGCTGACAAAAACGTTCAGCTTTTCAGACTTTCAGCAACAGAGCTCAACACTACATCATTCCTGAATAGACGCAGGGGTCTATTATTAACTTGCAAAGTCATGTTAAAAATGCAGCGCTAAAGAGATGCAAGGCCATCCGTCTGATGAATATGCACAAACTCAGATCAACAATTAAAATATGAGCCTTGAATTTGCTGAGTTTTCTGATGTGAATGTCAACTTTATCTGTGTAGTGCTTAAAGGAGTAGTTCACTTAAAAAAAAAAAAAAACCTTTGCTGAGAATTTACTCACCCCCATGTCATCCAAGATGTCCATGTCTTTCTTTCTTCAGTCGAAAAGAAATTAAGATTTTTGATGAAAACATTCCAGGATTTTTCTCCATATAATGGACTTCAATGGGGTCCAAACGGTTCAAGGTCCAAATAAGAGTTTTTTGGATAAAAGAAAGACATGGACATCTTGGATGACATGGGGGTGCGTAAATTATCAGCAAAAGTTTTGAACTACTCCATTAACACAGTAAATCCTGACATATAAAAGATAAGCTGGAAAAAATAACTTTTTAAAATGGAACCGTTTATTGAACCCTAAAATTTAAAATCTTAAAAAGGTTTGCATGTTTTTTTTTGGATGATCATATTTCATATGTCCGTTTTGTGATATGTATGGGCTTTTCTGGTTCATAGAGTATGTTATAAGAGAAGAACTGGAGTAGTGAAAAAAAAAAAATTATTCAGAGGCCCAACGTGAATAAAATTATAGAAATTGGTGCAGAAGCTGATATTGATAAAAAGTAAGATAAAAATTATGATGTTTGTTACAATAAAATGCTTATGAATATCAGTCTTCACTCTATATATCGCAATGTCTTAGTAAGATGATATTTAAACGCTTAGTTTTATGATAAAGCTCTGTATTTTTAAAACATTTAATGCAATGCAATACAGTTATGATTGAGAGATGAACCTGATATTTGAAACTCCCATTTTATTAATGATTTTTCTAAAAAAAAAAAAATATGTATGATTGTCAAGTTAACAAAAGTTCAATCCAGTAAGTGCTCATCATGAAATATCACTAACAATATAGACGTTATTAATTTACTTTATAAAAATCTAAATTTCACAGGAAAAAAGATTATAATTACTATTATAATAAAAGGCCTTTAACTTGCTAAAAAAGTATAAACTATCAAGCAGACAACAGAAGGCATTACAAAAGTGTGATGCCTTGGAAATGTGCTTATTGAATATGTTACAGTAGGTTTCACAGGGTTAAAACTCTCAAACAAAAAAAAAAATAAATATCCTATGACCCATTTAAAATATTATAAATCGTGCAGAGAGCCAGATCTGAGTTATGTGTCATCTCGGGGGCAGGAGCAGACAGAGATGCACCAGGAGACCATGAGGATGATTTAAGAGTTGCATCAATATCCTACAGCAGATCAAAACATCCGACGGACACCCGAAACACACACTCCGCGAGGAAACACATCGTGTCCTAATTAGTGCGGCTTGCTAAATCAAACATTACTATTACTATTTATCATAGTTAGGGGTGCAGTTTCTTCCAAAAAAGTACAAATCTTTAAATAGTTAAATAGATCTGTGATGTACGTATTAAAGTCTGATGGTTTGTTCGTTTGTTATAATCGAGGGACAGAAAGCTCAAACTCCCGTTCACCCGTAATGAAGCCCTGAGAGATGGAAACACACACACACACGTATCATAAAGCCAGAAAAAACATTGAACCTGAAGATATCCCTCCTGTGTCACAAACACACACACACACACACGTACAGGCCGTGTATGAAATTCCCTCGGCCCTTTTCTCTCCCTTCCTCTTTTTTCCTGTTGGGATAAACAGGATCATTATTCCCGCACTATGAAGAACTAATCGCACACTAATGCATGTTTCCAGCACTCACACTGCGGTAAAGCCTCGGGAATCAATTAAGAGAGATGGATTTCCTATTGAAGTGTAATCTCATGACAATACGGCATGAGAAAAGCCAAGACACACACACACACTCACTATTGGTGCTTTGTCTACATTGCATCCTGACTGATATGGAGCGCCCTACATAGGTAGCAACAGTGAACTTGATAAAAGTTCTTTAAATCAATCATTCATTCATTGATTAATTATTTCATGAGTGCATGCATGTATTCATTTGTTCATGCATTCAATCACTTGTTGTTCACACATGCATTAATTCGTTTATGCATTCACTCATTACTCTTTGCATTCATTTATTCATTCTCTCATTTAAGCATATGTTCATTCTTTCATTCATTTATGCATGTGTTTGTGCATTCATTCATTTATTCATATATTTGTTAATGCATTCATTCATGGAATATTTGTTCATGCATTCACTCATTACTCTTTGCATTCATTTATTCATTCTCTCACTTATTTGTTCATTCTTTCATTCATTCATTTATGCATGTTTGTTTGTGCATTAATTCATTTATGCATGCATTTGTTAATGCATTCATTCATTCATTCATTTCTGAATGCATTAATTTGTTCATGCATTCATTCATTACTCTTTGCATTCATTTATTCATTCTCTCATTTATGCATTTATTTGTTCATTCATTAATTTGTTTATGCATGTGTTTGTTCGTGCATTAATTAATAAATGCATGTATTCGTTTATGCATCGATTTATTAATTAATTCATGCATTCATTTGTTCATTCGTTCATTAATTTAACATTTATCCCACCAGGAGAAACTATAGATTTGCGGCGAAGGTATCAGACACAAAACTAACAAATTTACAAAAAAAAATAAAAAATCACTCAACAATAACATGCAAAGTCAGTTCACTCATTGGCCATCTTGTGCACGAAAGTGCAACTGTGAAATTATGCTTCAATATCATTCAAATGATCACTAAAGTCTGGCAAAAATAGTAAAGTTTTGCTTCTTCAAGTCTTTGTCCATTTTCCCAGAAGAGAAAGACTGTATATTTTGAATGTGTATATCTGCTAAAAGTAAACTTGTGTCAACTTTTAAGAGTACACTAGCATAGAGATGAGCTCAAAGCTATAGAATAAAAAAAAAAAAAAGGATTTTAAGGTGTCTTTAAGAGTCCAGACCAAGCAACATCTGACCAAAAAAAAAAAAAAAAAAAATCCTCTGGTTTTGCACCCATGCAAGCTGTGTGATTTATAGCGCTAGATATCCTTTGACTCATGATTTCCGGAAGATAATATTGATGATTAAGGTTTTCCCCATCTGAAAGTGCAGACTCTAGCTTTGAGCTTTCTGACTGAGTGAACTCTCTTCCCTCAAAAGATCTGTTCATCACAAATTCTGCTTTCATAATTCTTTATCTCACTTTCTTCCCTTTCTCTCCGTCTTTGAGCCTTTGTTCTCTATAGGAGCCGGAAGGTTGAGATGGGTTTGGTTATATTGCTCCTTAAAATACGGAAATGTGCAGTCAAACACTTCCTCAGCCCATGCAAACGTCAGGTGGTTGCTCCGTTAAAGCAGTCTCTGTGATCCTCTCGAGCAGAAACGTTATGTGATAAGGTTTATAATTAAGGGTTAATGGTCTCGTTAAACCACAAACACACAGTCTGAGCAATAACAATAGTAATGCACACAGTACTTCAATTGCACTGAAAAAAAAAATCAAACCTCGGTGAAGATGAATTTGCACGGTGCAACAATCATATACATGTAAATGTGTCATCTGGATATGCAAATTAGAGACATCACCTAGCAATTTCCACTGACAAATGACGCCCTCTGAAATGACAGCAACACTGAAAAACAGATTTACAGCAGTTTCAAGTTTCAAATGCAATACAGAAATAACTAGATTTGCATTTCCTGAAGAAAACAGAAGCGCCTGCACGATGGCAAAAGAATACTTTGAGATTCAGCCGTTAGTTCTGCGTGTGAAATGTTGCATTACAAATGTTTCGCATGTTTATAGGCTTTTTCAAAGTCTTGATGTTGTTTCAGGCTCTACTTGAACACATTATTCTCCTCATATTCTCCTTTGTTGCGGCTCCTCTCTTCACTGTAAAAAATTTGGAGTAGGATTTACTTGAAAAAACCTTGCTAAACGATCTCACTCAGAAAATGCTAGTAAATTTACAAAGATTTGCCAAGTAAAAACCTAAACATATTTATCAGTAGCTTTAATTAGAAATCTTTAAATTAAATTTACTTGGAATGTGGAATTAAGTAAACTTTACGAAAAATAAGTAATTTTAACTCGGCTTGTAAAAGGTTGATTAATTAACTGTCACCGTCCCACAGGTGGGACGTTTGCCACTATATTTTTAAAACAATAATATCTTAGTAAATACCTTAAATAATATTGACAAACTATATATCATTTGAAAGCTTACAATCTCTAGTTTCCATATTTGGTGACTGATTTTCAAAATATATTACAGAGGAGCCATAATTTATCAATATGCAACAAGAATATTTTCATACTCATAAGGCGTGTTCAGACCTTTATTTTAAAATAGCAATTAACATGAAAAATCATGAAAAAATGGTAGATACCTCAGTTTGATTTCATGCCAAAAGTTCAAAAGATAGAATCCATTCAATTATTTTGGAAAAAAAAGGTCTGAAAAGTTTGAAATATCAAGAAAAAAATAATAAATTCACCATTTGTGACGTGGCAGCTAGCTATGACTTACATGCGTGTTCTTTGTATGTGTTTCTTAGAGGTTCAATTCATATCAAAATCTGACAAACTTCCCATGCTACTTCTGAATAGGATCTCTACTTCAGAAATTGTATGAAAATTGTGAAAATAATGGTTCATATCACTCAAAACACGAATGGAAATGCAGGCGCCCTTATATGGGCAGTAATGGAGTCTGATTGTGCCCTAGTGAAAAAGTTTGGTACTGCGCTCAAACAAAATCTTACTGAAAGCTCATTTTTTGAGATATCAACCTAAAATTTGAAACACAACTTGTTCAGATTTTTGGCTTTGATCTTTCTGCCATTTTAGAGTAGCCCAGGTTTTGAAAATATATATTTTATGTAAAATATGAATAATTAATATTTTTACATTGTACATTTCCATAAACTCAAACTTCTATAACTTTTTTTCTGTTTCACTTTCTTAATTTATTTCACTTCTACAAAAATCTGCCAAATGTCTTCTTTAAAACAAGACCAATCATATGTCTATATTCCAAAGCATTCTTGAATTACAACCATTTAAGTTCGAAATGTGCATTTTCATGTCTATTCAAAAAAGGGGGGGTGACAGTTAACAGATTAATACCAATTTCCTTTGCCTTTGTATTACACTTCACTAAAACAATTATCTTGAATTTTATTTGTCATTAATAGTATGTTCTTTACTTAGATCATCTAAGTAATTTATATATACATCATGTCAGACTTTAAGCCTTATGTGAATGCAAACACCTCAATACTTGGTAGACAATACACAATGGTGGTAACATTTGATGGATCGTTTTTGTGTTTGAATGTGTCGTTTTAAGCAAAAAATGTACTCGAAATGTCACAAAATGGCAATTTACTAATACTGAAAACAAAAATCAATGATAAAACAGTGAAAATACAGCTGGAAACCAGTGAAAAATGAACCTCATTAATTATTCAAGGTCCAGTGCATGATGGGAACCCCAGTATCAGAAAAGTTGAGTAATTTTTATTTAATTTTATTGAGTTGATATTACACTTTCATTTATACTCGCTTGAAATAAGTACTGATATGGAATTTACTTAGTTTTTTAAATTCTTGCCTGAACTAACTTTTTCAAGTAAATTACATTGGGTTTTTTCACTAGTATTTACTTAACCAAAAAATTATTTTTTACAGTGTTCCTAGTCTGTCAGTAACGCTCTGTTTACTTCCTGTCTCTTTGTCTATGAAGCCCCGCCTTCTGAAAAGCACACTGTGCTCTGATTGGTCGGCTCGAGCAGTGAGTTGTGATTGGTCGAGTGCTTTGAGTGTGTTTGGGGAAAGTCCCGCCCCTTTCCGTAACCACCAGTTTAACACACTACTAACTAACTCAACCAGGCCCCGCCCCTTTATTCTGCGCATGAATTATTATAATGAGGAATATTGTGACGTGTTCGTTCCCAAGAGAAACTCGAGACTACAATGGAGGCGTTTCAGAAACACTGACACTCATATAGAGAAGAACTGTGTGTGTGACTGATGCTCAAACATCAACATTACACACTAAAGAAAGATAAACGGTTAAAAAGCATACCAGGTCCTATTTATTATCAGCATAGATACTATTTATTACAGTCTCTGCGCTATAAAATACAGCAAGAGGTGGTTAAAAAGATGCAATAAAGGCAAAACCAATCATCACAAATCAGTTTTCCAAAAAAAGAAGAGGATAATTGCAATTCGGTGTGTAAATAATACAATGATTTATAAAGGCAATGCAATAGCACAATCGCTGTGGGATGGGTGTGTTTTCCATACAGTGTTCACTATAGGCTTCATTAGCTGTTGTTGAGCATGCTTCGTTTATCTCGATCCCTCATTACGGGCTTTGTTAACCTTCAATACATTCTCTGTCAGTCTGTATTATTCTCTCATATTTTTACCTATGGTTTTTTGCCCTTTTTTCCTCGCTTCCTCTCAACTCACTTTGTTGCCGGGAAATTGCAGGCAGGACTGTGGCTATACTGTAAATAGAGGCCATAACCCCTCTCACACACACACAGTCCGAGATTGCAGTCAGATAAAATGGTCGCTGTGTGTGTGTGATGCTGTTGTGATAATAATTTGTGTCAGCAGCCTTGGCTACAAAAGTATGGTTTCATTCATTTCTACTTCGGAATAAATAAATAAATAAAACTCATTGTAAAGAGTTTTAATCCTTGACCCGAAACAAACAGCTCCGAGATGCACACAAAAAAACTAAAATTGCAAAATTGCAACTTCGACTGACACAATCATGATGCTGACAATTCAGCGTTGTCAAAGGAATACATTACGTCTGACTATATCTTCATAGAAGACGGATATGTTATATTGTAATAATATTTAACAATATTGCCGTTTTTACTATATTTATGGTCTAATAAATGTAGTTTTAGTAGTGAGCAGAAGATCCTAATGACCCCTGACTTATGAATGTTTGTATAAGTATTACTATATACAGCGATTTGGCTATTAAACATGATTTTTATTTTTTTTTAAATCCAGCTGCAATGAGTTAAAGGGATAGTTGACTATGAAATTAATTTTTGGTATGTTTTATCTTACCTCAAGGGCATCCAAGATGTACGTAGGTGTCTTTGTTTCCGCAGTAGTTTCAATTTTGATATTTTTAAATCAAACCGTTCGTGTCTATCAGTCATATAATGGAGGTCTATGGTCACCACCTCAAAGAGCATTAATTTTTGATAGTTTTGATAATTAATTTTTGATATGTTTTATCTTACCTCAAGGGCATCCAAGATGTAGGTGTCTTTGTTTCCGCAGTAGTTTCAATTTTGATATTTTTAACTCAAACCGTTCTTGTCTGTCAGTCATATAATGGAGGTCTATGGTCACCACCTCAAAGAGCATGCACAGAGAAGTCCAAATTAAATTTAATGACTCGTAAATGTGAGTATACATTGATGGGAAATATCAAAAGTGAAAATACTGCGGAAATCATGGATGCCCTTGAGGTAAGATAAAACATACCAAAAATTAATTTGAAAGTGAACTATCCCTTTAACTTCAGAGCTCACAGTGTTTCTTGAAAGGTTTATACATTATCGTTAAAAATCAATCTCTCAATGGAAAAAAAATGAATATGATTTTGACATAATGAACCGGCTGCTGCGCTGTGAAACTTGTAAGGAAATGAGATGAATGGAGGACTGAGAAGAAACACAGAGAGATAGTTTATCTGTAAGTCTGTCTTCAGTTTTGTTTGCTATTTTGACATGTCATATTGTCTTTATGTTCATGTCTAGGTCATGACAAACGATCCGTCGTAACCAATGCTGAAAAGTGTTTTCTCATTTTCATCAATCACACTTTTCATTCACAACAACACTAAATGTATCAGCAAATCTTTTTTTCCCTCGCAATTTTAATGCATCCTATATATTTACTCTCAGTTCATTATAGTTATATTTTTTAATGGGAAATAATGTGATTTGATAAGATAGGAATGTGAGAAATAATTTATTTTTGTTTCGGTGCTTTAAACAAATTACATTTGAAAGGGGATAAAAACGAGACAAATGTTTGTTTTTCGTCATAATAACATGCACAGATGAATCATTCACAATAGGAATGAAAACATCAAGGCTATATTCATTTAACAGATAACAACAAAGGTTTCTGGTCTTTTAGTGAATGATTCATTAGCACATGTTTTTCGAAATGTAAAAAAAAAAAGTTTGTTGAAATTTTGCACTATAAATTTCCCTATTTTTTCTCTATTGAACAGTGGTGGAGGAAGTGCTGAATCTCAGTACTTAAGTAAAAGTACAAATAACCAGATACATATTTACTTTAGTAAAAGTAGAAGTAACACAATGACAACCATACTTAAGTAAAAAGCACCTGATTTTAAATGTACTTTAAGTATTAAAAGTAAAAGTACTTGCATAATTTATTTTCTTAAATGTCTAATTTCTAATGATTAATAAAACATTTAATTCTAACTCATTTAACTTAATACTCCTATAATGATGTTCAATAATGATGGAAAAAAAAAAATGTTGAAATTTGCAATTAGGCAATATACACATCATGCTTATCCTTACTATATGTTAATAACTATGGCAGTAAACGGCATTAATTTATGGTGTAATTCTGAACCTCTTGGCTTGCCATAATCCTAACCAAACGTATATTACACACGGTGTGTTTCCTATGCACGTAAAAACTAATTTTCGTGTATAAATTGCACGATAAACACACTGCGTGCGAGACGCATTTAGTTGATGTATCTATGGCAACCAAACGTCACTGGTGAGACAAACGTGCAACGGACGGACGGTCAGATTACGTTTTGGCAGGGGAAAAACTGATCAGAAAATGTAACAGAAGTTGTAGAAATGTAGTGGAGTAGAAAGTAGAATAATTGCTGCAAAATGTAACGAAGTAAAAGTAAAAAGTATGCACTATTTATTCTACTTAAGTAAAGTAAAGATACGTGAAAAATGTACTTAAGTAAAGTAACAAAGTATTCGTTACATTCCACCACTGCTATTGAACATCCCATTTCAAATTCCACCAATCAATAAACAATGTTGAATGTAATGGCTGCATCTCTCATTGCAGAACTCATTTTATATTTGATTTAATCACATGTATTTGTGTGTTTTTAGCGTGGAGCACGACTTCCGCGTGCAGGAGGGACGATTTCAAAACATCCTGGAAGAACTGGATGAAAAGGAGTACGACGTTCCCGCCCCGGTCCCAAAACCAGCCCACATACGGCCGCGAACCAAGAGCCGCGTCAAGAAACTGCGAAAGAAGTGTTTCTGGTGGCTGTAGAAAAAACGTCCTAAAGCAAACTTTACGACGTGCGGATAAGGATGTTAAAAACATGCTCTCACTGAACGGATTATTCTTTGATATAATATCTACAGTTTGAGGAACTTCACAAAGCCACGGCTGAACCAAAAGCTCATCCTGAAAACTTGAGGACAATTTAAAACCCAAGGAGACCCACAAGACCTCGCGTCTAACCGGTCAATAAATCCCCTTCACAGCGTCTGACAGAGCCGGAGCGCAGTCGATATCCCTCTTTACCCTGATGGACCGATGGAGATTCTCCGTCTCATCTCCTCGTCACCGTTCTCTGACCTTTGTGTGCAGATGGCTTTCGTCCCCGACTAATGAATGTCTAAAGCTCTGTTCCCAAACCTAGTCATCTGCCTACCTACACAGCATCTTAAATAACCGGCAGTCGAGCTTTCTGCGATTGCCTTTTCCATCCAAGGATATGTGCATCTCCATGTTGCTACAATTATCAATCCTGACACCTGCCTAATGAAACGCTCAGTCAGTCACGTATGAGGTTCTATTTCAGTTAGGGTTCGGAACAGAGTTTAAATGTTTCAAATGCTGAAGTTCCGAATTCCAAGTGTTCTAAAATTCCGATGTGATCAGTGTGAAACGCAGGAGAGAAAGTGAGACTAATTCATTCTAAACACGTTCTTGTATTACATCTGCACCATTTTTTTTAGTTGGTCTATGTACATAAACATGCTTTTTTAAAGTTGTGTCAAATTAAAAGAAGTTACATTCTTAAAAATGTACCGAGACGCACACGTTCGGTTCACGTATATGCTAGATTCATGTCTCATTGGAATTACCATAATTACTAAATGGGATTCTGGTAATTCAGTTTCTCTGAGCCAGAAATGATTTGTTTCTATTGCAACACTCAATGCCATAATTGCTGCATAACGCCAACTCTGCTGCATGTGCAGCTTTATTGATGATGACAGTAAATTCATCACATCAATTTACCTCTATTCTCTGTGTGAATATGCATCAGGTAACGTTACGGCGTTTGTATGAAATAAGCGAGTTACAGCAGCTCATTCACAACCATTATTGGTCATTTGTACACTGAAAAAAATAATATGCTTTATCTAATCGATAAAATTGTGGCAACATATTACAAGCAATATTATTAATTAAATTGTACAAATTAGAATGTTAATTTGATTAACTATTACTCAATTCTAATTTGTTCAATTTAATAAATAATATTGCTTGTAATCTGTTGCAACAATTTTATTGATTAGATAAAGCATATTCATTTTTACAGTGTATGGCCTCCACAACACATCGAAATGATTTAAATATGTACGATATATGCATATCGCGATGGCTTTATGATAACCTAATGATTTTAATATTTCAAAAAGTTATGTAAAGTCACAATTTTAAGTTCACTCAAGGCTAGGGCTACAACAAACGATTATTTTGATAATTGATTAATCTAACGATTATTAGAACGAATAATCGTCGATTATTTTGTAGGCTAATCAGTAGGTTTGGAACCGTTACTCAGCTTTTTCAATTAGTTAAAACATTGAGTAATATATATTCTTACTATAATGTAAAAAATAAAATCAGTTCAGCTTTTGAAACGGTTGTTAAAATGAACAAAACAGGTCATTCTTTTTAAGTTTTCAGATTTCGGTCCAACTCAAAATCCCACACAAATGCTCTGCTTTTCTTAGAACTAAAACGGAAAAGGGGTAATTTACTTCGGGACACGATGAATGGTAAAATATTAATCAGCAAACAATTATTATAAATATAAAATTACAATCTTTTTTTAGATGGAAATTGAGCTGACAGAGACGTTCTCATCCACCTTTTAATTTACAGAATGAAAAAGTAACTGTCTATATACCAGTCCCTCCAGGATTTCACGATTTTTTTGTTTGTGATTTTTGTGATCAAAATGACTGATTTTGTGGTGGTAATTTCCAAAAATGTGTGAAAAAATTTGCGATTTATATATAACATTTACTATAATAGTATTCAGTCCTTCCAGAAAAACGCGGAGTTTTTTTGAGATTGTTGCGGGCAAAAATTGATTGATTAGCCTACTCGGCCCGTTTTCTTTAAAAATGCGATGGAATATGCGGGATATTTATGCAATTTTATGCGATGAAATTGCAGGAATTTGCAAAAATTGTGGTTTGATGAAAAAGATTTCTCTTTTTCAGTGATTCCCCCAACATCCTGTTCTCACTAGGCTAATGTAAGAGTCATTTCTTATTACTTCCTTTGATAAGCAAGCATACTACATCATAGAAAGTGCTGGGAATATTTAATTTCTCATCTTGTTTTATTTCAGACTATAACGAGTGTAAATAAGGTGTGGCCCCTTTAAGAGCTGCGCGCTCCCTGTTGAACTCTCTGCAGTGTTATATGTGCGCCTCAAACACAACATGTGTGCGGGTCATTTCTGTTTGATGCTACTTCTTTTATCTTATGTTGTTTATTAAGTAACGATGTGACGGTAGAACGTGTGACAGACAGTTATACGAGTTTGATTTGTGAGATGTCAATCGCCTCCGTGAGTCTGTCCGGCGTCGCGTAATTGCGTCACTTCATAACGTTCCCATGGAAACAGGGGGAAATGGCTGCTCTTGTGTGAAGCAAACGGAACATTTTTCAACTTTCTGCTAAGATACATGTGACTTTTTTTTGCAACGAAAATGCGAGGATTATGAAATTATGCAAACCCCGCATATTTTGCAAGGAAATCGGCAATTTATGCGGCGAAAGTGCGGCGTATTTGAAAAAATGCGGCCCCCGCATAAATATGCGGACTTTGGCTGATTTTGCATTGAATTCAGCGATCGCATAATCGCGTTTTTCTGGAGGGACTGGTATACCTAATAATGTTACAATAATAAAAACAGCCCTGACTCCTAGGCTCGATCAAGCTTTATTCTATGCCAAATAAATCATCACATTACTGTAATTATATTATTATTGATAATATTATTATTAGTAGTAGTAGTAGTAGTATTGCATTAGTTAGTTAGCTCCAGATGGAGAACATTACATTTTTTTTGTTTTACCACAATAGCGTTTGTAAAGGGCTACATTACACTCTAGCGCAACAGCGCCGTAGTGGTCAAATCGCGATATTGCACACCATTACATCAGGTCACGATCAAACGACAACAACGATATTTGTCGGAAAAAAAATTCTCAACCTTGTCGACTAATCGTTTCAGCCCTACTCAAGACCAAATACACTCAAAATTATGTCAAAATGCCGTCTTGCAGAGTATTCACGTGAACAGTTAATTCTGTCTTAAGCGAACGTAAAAAATTGAGGAATACAACGCGGGTGTAAAAGTGACAGTAGCCTAATAAACCTGATGCCGTCTATCTTTTCAAAGTTAATCCAACAACAAAATACGAAGAGAAAATCACTCACTGCTAATGACTGTATAACTTTTGTAGTTTTAATAAGAATCAGCATTTATTTAATTCCTAAGCAGTTTTTTGTACATTGTTGTATCGAATATCGCACTTTTCTGTAATATCGCACAGCCCTAATTGTTTGCCTGTAATTGAAGCTGCTGCCATTTCAATTGTTTCTATATGACGACAAATCGGTCAAGAGTTTCCATTAAATTGCGAATTTGATAAAAACATGAGCAGGTTTTAGTCGGAAACTGGTAATTATGGTAATTTCATCATGACATGAACGCCCCCATTAATGCAACATGGAATTTCCTCATCATTAAAGTGTAAATGTTTGGTGTTCTCACAACATCGTAGCTTCAATGTTTAGATTCCTTATGATGAATTTCACAAACACTGATATATTTTTCACACTTTCTTACACACAGATCCGCACTTCATGCTTCCTAGAGTACGAAAGCGTCAAGCTCACGTCTTCCACACCGTATCTGTCCTGTCTACATGTCCAGACTTGAACATATACAGTATAAATATATATATATATATATATATAGAATAACAAATATGATAATCAGTGTATTTTTATACGCCAATATTCAGATAGTCTAAGACTACATTTCCCACAATGCACTTATTCCCCCTTCCACCTGTTTGTAATTGAAATGACATCAATAAAATTGTGTATTTTAATGCAGTGAATGTTTCTGGTCTGACCACAAATAACACAATCAGAGGAGCACAATATCCAAATATCCCATTTGGCCTTTGTTTACATCATTGACTCTTAAAGGGATACTCCACTTTTTTTGGAAATAGGCTCATTTTACCACTCCCTCAGGGTTAAACAGTCGAGTTTTACCGTTTTCGAATGTATTCAGCCGATTTTTTATTTATTTAGAAGAATATCAGTAACCAGACAGTTTCTGGTCTCATTGACTTCCATAGTATATTTTTTTCCTACTATGGAAGTCAAAGAGACCAGAAACCATCTGGTTACTGATATTCTTCTAAATATCAAAAAAATCGGCTGAATGGATTCGAAAACGGTAAAACTCGACTATTTAACCCTGAGGGAGTGGTAAAATGAGCCTATTTCCAAAAAAAGTGGAGTATCGCTTTAAGTATGAGGAATATTAATAGCGATCTTGGCTTAGTGAACACTATTATCTGTAAAATAGCATTAATAGAGGGAAGAGGAGAGCGAATGGAGTGGCTTTAACTCACGATGAGAGTGTGTTCTCGGCCCATGGTGATGACTGTGCGGTTTATCGTCCTCAGCAGAGACGACACAATGTCCTGAATGTGCTGAAATGTGTCTCCCTGGAAGAGAAAAAGACAAAACGATCGTCATTTGCATTCTAGCACTGAACCAAACGCTCAAAGATTTTCTCATTAAGTCACACACAGATTTACTCTCGAGTTCCTCACCTCGATGTTTGCGGTCTTTAAGCTACAAATCTTGCCAAACCATCATAAAGAGCTCTTTCCCACGCAAATGACATAGTGAACTGTGACCTAGATTTATTGTTCGTTAATAGCTATTTAAATTTGTGTTGCTTTCTTAAGTAAAGAATGGAGAAGACGTTGATTATGTCACTGTCGTCATGATGTTGTCATTTATGAACCTTCACAGCCCTAGACATGTTCATTGCACAGAAAAGAGCAGTGACGTGATGAGTTAATGCTAACAGAATAAACAAATTCGCCATTTATTTTAACTATGCCGCAAATGAATAGTGTGTGTGTGTGTTTTAGTTGCAGGTCTGGTCTCTCTGGCTCCTTCACACTGATTTATTGTTCAAATGTATTGATCTGATGGAAGAGCTCTGGAATGGCCCGAGTGAGTGTGTGTGTGTGTGTGTGTGTGTGTGTGTGTGTGTGTGTGTGTGTGTGGTCAACTTAAGGCTTTTTATTTCTTTTTCTAAATCCATTCTGAGAGTTTAAAACCTATCTGGATCTAAAAATAGTACATTTCTAAAAGTTAACTTTTCTGATCTTTCGCTGTACAGTTCAGCATGAATAAACCCCTTGATGGGCAACATTTGATGCCTCAGCGGAGGCTGTGATTGGATAACTGGACAAACCAGCGGACCAATCGGATCACAGCGATTTTTGTCCCCAAACACCAGCATCCGAACCCATGAAGAGAACATGACAGTGTTTACTGCGCTTCATCTGAGACACAACTGAGGACGAAAGAGCCTTGGTTTCTTCCCTGATTGAATAACCTTTATGCCAATTTCTTAGAAAGTGATGATTTTATTCTTTTTAAAGGGATAGTTCACTTTGAAACTAATTTTTGGTATGTTTTAGCTTACCTCAAGGGCATCCAAGATGTAGGTGTCTTTGTTTCCACAGTAGTTTCAATTTTGATGTTTTTAGGTCAAACCGTTCTTGTCTGTCAGTCATATAATGGAGGTCTATGGTCACCACCTCAAAGAGCATGCACAGAGAAGTCCAAATTAAACATGATTTAATGACTCGTACATGTAAGTACACATTGATGGCCTAAGACACGAAACGAGCGGTTTGTGTGAAAAAACAAACAGTATTTATTTCGTTTTTACCTCTTGTAACCACAGCCACGTCCAAGTGATCTGAGGGCATGGGCGCTTTGTGGCTTTGGTTAAAAGAGGTAAAAACGATATAAATACTGTTCGTTTTCTCACACAAACCGTTCGTTTCGTGTCTCAGGCCATCAATGTGTACTTACATTTACGAGTCATTAAATCATGTTTAATTTGGACTTCTCTGTGCATGCTCTTTGAGGTGGTGACCATAGACCTCCATTTTATGAGTGACAGACAAGAACAGTTTGACCTAAAAATATTAAAATTGAAAATACTGCGGAAACAAAGACACCTACATCTTGGATGCCCTTGAGGTACACTTTTAGAAGAAAAGGTTCTATATAGAACCTTAAAAGGTTCTATCAGCGCTACGTATTTGGAACCCCTAAAAGGTTCTATACACTCTTAAAAAAGGGTTCCTCTGGGTTCTATATAGAACCCTGGGGTTCCATACTTGGCCAATAGAACCTTTTACAAAAAAAAATGGTTCTATATAGAACCATTTCGGAGTTCCATATATAAAGCGAGGGATGGAACCATTTCTGGTTCTAAATAGAACCATTTCTTCTAAGAGTGTAAGCTAAAACATACCAAAAATTAATTTCAAAGTGAACTATCCCTTTAGCACATTGGATGGAAACTGCTTTATTTGCTAAAGTATTATGCGATATAACAATTTTGCACATATTTATGGAAATATCAAAATATGAATAAATGTTTAACATTTACAGTAAGGTTTCATTTGTTAACAGTGGTTCATGCATTAACTAACACGAACTAACAAAAAGCTAAATATTTTTACAGCATTTATTAACATTTGTTTATATTAGTTAATCATGTTCATGTTAGTTCACAGTGCCGTAACTAACCAGATACATCCTTTCATCTTAAACATGTATTAGGAAATCTTGAAATTAACAATAATAAATGCTGCACAAGTACCGATCATAGTTAGTTCAAAATAACTACTCTAGTTTATAATGTTACCAAAAGAAACCTTGTTGTAAAGTGAGACCAATAAATACTATAGAAATAATTCTAAAATAACCTATTAGTGTCTCTAATTCCTTCTCATGAGTAGCTTAAGTTTCTGAACAGCCAACAGAAATGATGATGATCAAAAGCCTTCGTCGACAAACATCGACTGTGTGTGAGAATCACAGGAAAATGACCCGTGTGTGTTTACCACCCCCTCACTAATTTCATGACGCAGAGGCGGATAAAACGAGGGATTGAAAGAGAGAGAGAGAGAGAGAGAGAGAGAGAGAGAGAGAGAAACATCTGTTCATCTTGACATAGAGTATTTCATTTCATATTGCGTTTCACTTCAGCTGCCGACACACACACACACACACTCACTCATTCACACACTCACTCACTCACTCACTGTAATGATAATCTAATGAAACTCAATCAAGAAATTGGAGAATAAGCAGTAAAAAATTGGATTACTAAAATGAAGAAATGAAAATATTTATGTATAGTGTTAGGGAACGCAACAAGTAACAGTGTAAAAGAGCCTTTACATTTGTCAAGAATATAACTTTTTTGTTATTAAAACAAATAAGCAAGCCCATGTGACAAAAAGTAACACAAAAGTAACATAAGACACTACTTTACATACAAAGTAAGTCATGCAACTTACCTTTTAGAGTAACGCATTACTAACGACAACACTGTTTAAGTTTCCTTACAATTAGTACGATTTCATATAAACTACTGTTCAACAGTTAAGGGTTAGTAATGCTAATTTTGGATGCATTAAATTGTGTGTTTAAAGACATTTATAATGTCACAACAGATTTCTATATCAAATAAGTGCCGTTCTTTTAAACTTTATTCATCCTGAAAATAAACGAATCACGGTTTCCGGAAAAATTCAACATTGATAATAACAAGAAATGTTTCTTGAGAATCAAATCATCGTATTATTATGATTTCTGAAGGATCATGTGACACTAAAGACTGGTTATTCAGCTTTGATCACAGGAATATATTCAAATATCGATTTTAAATTGTAACTATATTTAATAATACAGTTTGTACTATATTTTGGATTAAATAAATGCAGTCTTGGTGAGCAGAAGACTCTTTAAAAAAAATTTAAATACAAAATCTTCCCAACCCTAAACTTTTGTACCATAGTGTATATGTGCATATAATGTCTTTTGATTTGGGGTTGAAATATGACAAGGACATTTTTTTTATCTTAATTCGTGTATCATTATATATTAGAAGGATGTATGCGGCTGCTAAGCAACGGAACTTGACACATTCCAATAGAATTCACATTCCGTTTTAGAACTTAGAACTCATCCACACTAAGGAACACCTAGACAGCTCATTCTCTTCCCAGCATCACTGTAATGTGTGTGTGTGTGTGTCAATCACTTGCTCTCACAGATGTTCTCTGATCTGTATTTTTAGAAGAATCATTTGATGTGAAGCCTCTAGGAGAGTTTAATTCAAACCGCAGCATGAAACATGCCCTGAGAGAAAGAGAGAGAGAGAGAGCATCCTCCTCACACGTCTCTCTCGATCGCTGTTTATTTGAACTGAGAAACGCTCTCAGAATCCTGTTAAAGGAGCAGACGAGAGGTCATGACCCTGTCGCATCTTCATTCTGCTCTCTCTTCAACACGCCATCATTCTCATCAGTCGCTCATCATATCATCACATGGGTCTGACCCGCTCACCTCTCCTCTCCACTCAAACACAAACAGCTACTTAAGGAATTTGATGGGTTCAAGTGTGTCATTAGTCCGATGTTAAAACACTTTCTCGTATCCACGCTTCTGTTATTCGGGCAACTAGTCATGCAACTCAAGAGGGCTCGGGCTGATGGGTCCTTTATCACATCATCATCTGATCGCTTGATCAATATTCATATAGTCCAGATCTGCTGCAGAATTTATGTATTTGTGTCTATTAATGCAGCAGCAGCATGTGTGTGTGTATCCATTAGCAGTAGCAAGTCAATATCTGCAGCGTAACAGATCCAGTCCACCAAAACCAAATACATTAAAGGAGTACACCCCCATGTCATCCAAGATGTCCACGTCTTTCTTTCTGATGAAGGTTTGTGATGAAAACATTCTAGGATTTTCTCCATATAATGGACTTCAATGGGGTCCAAACGGTTCAAGGTCCAAATGACAGTTTCAGTGCAGCTTCAAAGGGCTTTTTTCATCAAAACGAACGAATCTTTTTTTCGAGTGATTTTGTTCATTTCGTTCGTAGAATTAGCCAAATGACTCGAAAAAAGATTTGTTTATTTTGATGAACGAGTTCAAAAACGAGAGTCACGAACGCGCATCACAGAACAGAGCGAGGCGAGCATTTGTGCTTATAAAACTTAAACTTTTTTATTTATTTTTTAAATGAGCGATCGTTTCGCTTGATAAGACCCTTATTCATCGGCTGGTGTCGTTTAAAGCCCTTTGAAGCTGCACTGAAACTCTCATGTGGACCTTGAACCGTTTGGACCCCATTGAAGTCCATTATATGGAGAAAATCCTTGAATGTTTTCATCAAAAACCTTCATTTCTTTTCGACTGAAGAAAGAAAGACGTGGACATCTTGGATGACATGGGGGTGAGTAAACTATCAGCAAATGTTTTTTTAAAAGTGAACTACTCCTTTAACATCGCCTTATTCAATAACATGCTAAAACTTTTCAGAGAGTTTTATATATAAATATAAACTATATTTAGGGCATTAATGGGTTGATTTCCTGACTCATTACCACGGAAAATGAAGGACGACATACAGAGAGATAAACCAAACCTTAATTAAATAACAAGACGTGTCTCTATAAAAGCAGTCCCACTGTTAAAATTATGATTACAATTACTTTTCATCCCGTTAAAATAAATAAATATATGAATTGTATTATAATTATCAAATATCATATCATATATTATTTAATATATATTTTAAAAATATATACATACATCTGTTGTGGTATATTTATACGTATAGTTATGCCACAGATGTTGTCGATAGAAATTCACTTGTTTTAAACCCAAAACCTTCCTCTTAGAGCAGCAGGACCAATGGTGATATAAACACACACACACACACCAAAATGACTTTTTGTGTGAGATTGAGCAACAATTTGGTTTAAACCGGCAGCGCTGATAAACACACGGCTGTGTCCTGACCTCTTTCATTATCTCCCTCTCTCTCCGTCTCACCGGTTTCTTTGTGGAAGTGGAAGTTCAGGAAGTTCAGTGTCTAACTGCATCACCGTTTCGGAAAGTGAGATTAGAGCATCAGACTTCAAAGAACCCGAGTGTAATCCGCTGCCATTTTAGTAATTAAAAGCCGCTCCGGGTTTTACATCTAGGTGAGAGTGTGTTTTTGATTAGATGCATTTTTATAATCATAATCCTCAGAAACTTCCAAATTCCTACTCAAAAAGTGAAAAATCAACTATTTTTAATCACTATTTGAATAAAATACAATTAAATTTCTCATTGAGTGTATTGGTGTGTTCAAGTCCTTCTTGGAAGTGTGTATTTACGACGGCATGTGCGTTCTAGTTACGTTGGCTGTGCACTTTCTCTTAATAATTACATAAAAATTCAGCAAAGTTCTTAAACTCTATTTATAGAAAAGGAAGAAAGAGGAATATGTATCAAGTGCGTTCAACTTGTAAATACAATCTGACTTGACTTGAACGCACCACATCTATAAACCCTCCATCTGCCCTGCCTCACCGACTCCTGCTGTGATTGGCTGGTGTATTAGTGTGCTGATCTCTGATTGGCTCTTACCACGTCGTTGCGGCTGAGCACTTCCAGGATGTTGTTCAGGAGTTCGACGCTGTTCCTCTTCTCACCCTGATTCGCATCTCCCACCACAACCAACGCCTCGCTCAGCTCCCGGAGCATCATGGGTAACAAGATGTCCCGGCAGTCTGGAAATGACATCATAACGGAAAACAGTCAAAACGGTCCACTTATAAATAACATAGTTAAATAATTCAATTAAAACTATTTTTCATCTCCATAAAATAAACTAAATATTTTTAGCAATAAATGTAAGCAGTATTAAATATTTACAATATATATATAGTGAGTGAGTGAGTGAGTGAGTGGGTGAGTGGGTGAGTGAGTGAGTGAGTAAGTGGGTTAGTGGGTTAGTGGGTGAGTGAGTGGGTGAGTGAGTGAGTGAGTGAGTGAGTCAGTGAGTCAGTGAGTGTGTGAGTGAGTCAGTGAGCGAGTGAGTGAGTGAGTGAGTCAGTGAGTCAGTGAGTGAGTGGGTGAGTGAGCGGGTGAGTGGGTGAGTGAGTGGGTGAGTGTGTGAGTGAGTCAGTGAGCGAGTGAGTCCGTGAGTCAGTGAGTGAGTGTGTGAGTCAGTGAGTCAGTGAGTGAGGGTGTGTGTGAGTGAGTGAGTGAGCGAGTGAGTGAGTGAGTGAGTGAGTGAGTGAGTGAGTGAGTGAGTGAGTGAGGTGAGTGAATCTGTGAGTGAGTGAGTGAGTGAGTCAGTGAGTGTGTGAGTGAGTCAGTGAGCGAGTGAGTCAGTGAGTCAGTGAGTGAGTGTGTGAGTCAGTGAGTCAGTGAGTGAGGGTGTGTGTGAGTGAGTGAGTGAGTGAGTGAGTGAGTGAGTGAGCGAGTGAGTGAGTGAGTGAGTGAGGTGAGTGAGTGAATCTGTGAGTGAGTGAGTGAGTGAGTCAGTGAGTGAGTGAGTGAGTCAGTGAGTGAGTCATAGAGTGAGTGAGTCAGAGAGTGAGTGAGTGAGTGAGTGAGTCTCTGAGTGAGTGAGTCAGTGAGTGAGTCTGTGAGTGAGTGAGTGAGTGAGTGAGGTGAGTGAGTGAATCTGTGAGTGAGTGAGTGAGTGAGTCAGTGAGTCAGTGAGTGAGTCATAGAGTGAGTGAGTCAGAGAGTGAGTGAGTGATTGAGTGAGTGAGTGAGTGAGTCTCTGAGTGAGTGAGTGAGTGAGTGAGTGAGTGAGTGAGTCAGTGAGTGAGTCAAGGGGTGCTTCTCATTTCTTATTTGTGCATCCTCGTTTCCTTTCCTTGCTTCCTTTCCTTGCGTCTCTGCTCCACCCCCTGTAGGATGCGAGGGAAGGAAGCGAGGAAAGGAAAGGAGGACAGAGGAATCGCATAAAAGCTTTTCTATATACATTGGAATACTTGATCACTCGAGCGTCACTCCACATTGTCATCAGCAGCGCTAAAAGGATCTGCCCTTATGTTGTTGAAGTTTGGTTATTTAATAAATTCATAATAAATAATAATAACGATAGGCTATACTGTTGAAATATCTGAGATGTGTGGTTTATATAAACTGCAAAGGTAAAGTATAAATTAAAATGATTGTGACCGATGTGAAGGGGGAGGAGAATTGACACGTGCGTCACGTTTAGTCAATAACAGCTCCGCGTAGGATGCACCTGTGTATCCTCGCTTATGACTCCTCAGGAAGCCTCCTATCTCCTCGATCCTCGACTCCTCACGGTGCAATTAGAGAATTGAGATGTCCTTCAAGATGGCTGAGCTCGATCGGTTTCCGGGTCATAGGAGGGAGGACAGAGGAGCGAGGAGACGAGGAGGGATATTGAGAAGCACCCATAGAGTGAGTGAGTCAGTGAGTGAGTCTGTGACTGAGTGAGTCAGTGAGTGAGTCAGTGAGTGAGTCTCTGAGTGAGTGCATGCGATGCCATGTTATGCCAAAAAGTTATACATATGAATCAGGATGGACATAATGGAAATTTTTCATTTATCCATTTACATACCAAATTCTAAAATATATAGCATAAATGGGAACAAAATGGTCATGAAAAAAAAAACATTTCTACAGTAATTATTCCCGCAGTGGAGTTTAACACACGAGTCTTGAGGTCTGTTTCAAGGCTCTTCAGATTCTGTCTGGATACAAACCAGTTTTTAAAGTGAGTTCAATCCGCCGCACTTCATGACGGACTCTCACTCAAACAACTTTTCCTCTGCCTCTTAAAACCAGCCCATTAAAAGCTCATTTACACTCTGGCTCATTAGCAACTGATTATCAACGATGATCAATCTGATTTCACTGAGCGAGCCAGAGTCAGAGAGAAAGACGGATCAAGCAAAAAGTACAGAACAAAAATGCTCCTTACAAAAGACAATGATGGCCACATTATTTTTCATTTTCATTTTTTTAGAGAGAGAAAGAGTGAGAGAGTGTATACTTGTGTGTTTGTGTGTGTATATGCACCTATGTGTGTAAGTGTGTGTGTGTAGGTGTGTGTGCACATATGTGCGTGTGTGTGTTCCTTGTAGGGACAAGTTTTGGTCCCCATGAGGAAAACAGCTTATAAATCATACAAAATGATGTTTTTTCAAAAAGTAAAAATGCATAACGTTTTTTTTTTATGTATTGTGGACACTTCATATTGAGCAATAATATTGACTTGACTACACTGACACTGAGCTGGATGAACATATCCATAGATAAACAGCTTTATAGATTAATTGAACTCATCCCACAGTTGAACTTGACGAGGTATGAACGCCCAGCCAACGACACGGCAGCAGTTTGCATCATTGAATCATTATTTACCCGTTTATCACTGCAAAGAGCTATAGAAATAAAGGAGGCTTATATAAATGGATTTTTAATCTTATATTTTACTATTATTTATTTCTGAATGCAATTCATATATGAATTGCATATATATTTATGCCATGGTATAATATTATTGATATATCAAAGAATCAGGGTATTAACATTTAAGAAATTGTATTGCGATTAAAAACTACAGAATTATTAATGGTGACTTAAACACGGCGTGACATCTATGCAGGTCGAAGAGCCACAGTCTAAGCATGCATCGGCGTGTGAATGTTTGCCGTTGACCTGATCTTCCTACACAAACACGACCCTTCTCTCATCACCATCCCTCTCTCCGTAAGAGCTCAGAACGAGTCTCAGCGGGCGGCCTTTTCTCCAAGGCGAGCGAGATGCATCACGAAAAAGCAGATGATATAAATGCAATGGGTTTCCGGCACTCACAATAACCCTGACGGCGCGCATCCCGGCAGAGAACGGGCAGTTTAACGTACGCTTACAGTATTGTTGAACCTTCAGTCTAGTAAATAAATGACAATCATAAACGTCGGCACTTATGCTAATTACTGAGGCGAATGGTAATTGGATTTGTCACACTTAATGTCCCTGTGAGATAAAGAGCGATGGAGAGAAGGACTCCTCGGAGAGAGAGATAAATGCTGCTGGGGATCGTCCCGGAGGGAATATTGAGCGATCTGAGCTCATGAAGGGCTCAACGGTGTCACTTTTTATAGTGTCCCGTTCCATCATCAATATCAACGCCAAGAACAACAGGAAAATGTGCCGTCGAGCATTTTCTCAAGGCCACACTGACCCTTTCACCTTCTGGACTGTGCAGTGCTCATCAGCGAATGTGTGTTTCTCACCGTCATGATCCAATTGAGCCATAAAAACATGAAAAACACACATAGCTTCAGCTTTTAGCATCATGCAACACATCAAGAATGGCCTGAACACAACAGACACCAGGAGTTCAGGCTCATGGCGTTCTCGGTTCAGCTGAAACGGTCTTGCCTAACGGGAAAAAACACTTACTCAACAGACTCTTTATTACTGTGGACTGATCCTGGCCGAGAGCCACGCTAGTGGACGGCAGAAGCTGCTTCATGCATCACTTAGATGACTTTCACAAATAATGCATTTTGAAATTCAAGGAACGTGGAAATGAATAATGGTAAATATGCACATCTGCCAGTTACCTTTCTTAGAATCCTCTATTGTTTTCTCTGTCTGTCTTAAACATCATAAATCATTTTAATGCAATGTTTCCTGCGAGGAGTGAAAACTAAAGAGAGTGATTCGTTCGTCATAGTTTATATGCACTATCATGATCATGTGAACAGATATCAGAGGATAAAACAAAAAAATAAAAACATAAAATGTGAATGATAATGAATGATAAAATTCAGTGAAACTGAATAATATACATGCAATAAATACAAAAGCATGTGCAACTATAAGAGTTAAAATATATATAAAAAATAAAAAGAGCAAAAGTATAAAATAAAATTATGAATTAAATAAATTAATTAATTATTATGAAATAAAAGCATGCAAAAGTCACACTGTGTTTCCCAAACTCATGATAAATAACAACTAATAAAAATAAACTAAAAGGTGTAAATAAATAAATAATCATAAAAAAACACTGTCTATCAACTATAACAATTAAAAATAAAATATATTGAAATAAAAATAAGATAAAGAAAGAAAGAATGCAAAAAAGGACAGAGAGACAGACAGAATGGTAGAATAATCGACAGTGTCGATTCGATAATCGATGTGTATTGAGTGAACTTAAGAGGAGTGCACTAAATTTGTCACAATGTGTTGATATAAACAAATATTTTCATAGGTTTTTCCAAAATTTTTAAATTGGACAGTTATTTTCTTTCAAGGCTGTACGTTACCGACAAAGTAACCAACGTTACCAACACCTCAAACAGTCTCAAACAGAGTCTGAAACAGTCTCAAAGAGTCTCAGAGTCCCAGAGTCTGAAACAGTCACAGAGTTTTAAACAGAGTCACAATGAGTCTCAAACAGAGTCCCAAGGAGTCTCAGGCTCTCGAACAGACTCTCAAACAGCCTCAGTCTCAAACAGAGTCTCAAACAAAGTCTCAGAGTCTAAAACAGAGTCTGAAACAGAGTCTGAAACAGAGTCTGAAACAGTCTGAAACAGTCTCCAAGTCGCAAACGGTCTCAGAGTCTCAAACAGACTCTCAAACAGTGTTTCAAACAGAGTCTCAAACAGAGTTTCAAACAGAGTCCCAAGGAGTCAGAGTCTTAAATGGTCTCAATCTCAAACAGAGTCTCAAACAAGTCTTAAACAGAGTCTCAAACAAGTCTCAAACAGAGTCTCAAACA